AAAATTGAATTATTTCAAGTCAAACAAAATTTAAAAATTAAATAAATAATTAAGAAAAAGGTTTAGAAATCAAAAGTTACATTTTTGAAAAAAAAGGTATAAGATTAAGGAATAAAAATTTTTTATTTCACAATCCAATTTAAACGCTACACCACTAACGCATGAAAGTGAAATCCGGCATCTTTAAGAATTGAGTGATCAGCAACAATCACTCCATCCCAATGTGCACAGACATGAGAGTGAGTTTGAACTACATTCTCTAACCCTCTTTTGCCCGTAATCAATCATTCAGATCACTAAAAGGCACATTATGAAGGATCTTTAATTCCAAGGGCATGTTTTCTGATGTTGCTTTTGACTTCTACTCAAATGGGTCTTGTTAACATAAATGGCCTATTAGCTTAAACAGCGTCAAGACAACCTTCAAATGGAAAAGGTCACAAGTTTGAACCAAGTAAGATTGAAGTAAATAGTGGTAGGTGCGTGTATATATGCATTCTTAGTGTGAGTGATTAAACAAATGAATGAATGAATGGTCTGGTCAACACCTTTAGAAATCTGCCATTTAACGATTACTTTCTTCCCCTTGTTGCATGGTACTGTTTCCCTTCTGTTTTCAATAGACTAAACTGTAATCTGAAATGAAACCACACTATTTATAACTTGTACATAATTTATAAATAGTATGACTCGCTTCAAGGATACATGCAAATGTTACATTACCATGTCCCCTGAAAATCTAGTAGGCCCTTGGCCATTGTTGTATGCTAAAATCACAGGAAAGTCAAAAATCATTATCCTTTATTCTTTTACATATTAAGCCAATACACTATTAAGGAACAACTTCTACCTTCTGCATAGTGGTAGATACATGTGTACTAGCATTAACAAAACAGTCAATAAAAACAACAGTTAAATCTGAAACAAAGTGACATCATCTAATTTTTTTTTTTTTCTTTTTTTTTAATCCAACAGCGGCACAAATCAGTTCCAGATGATTCTTTATTTGAGCAAATGGAAGATACCAGACCAAACTTCAAAAGTAATTGCTCTTGTAGAATTTTTCAAAAAGGGAGAGATTCCCTGGTCTTTTACGCCCGAATCCTGCACAAGCCCTTGTTTTACCTACCACGTACTGACCAATGATATGATGCCTCTGCTTTGCATGATCCACAATGTCCTTCAACTCTTCCATTGCCTTGAAGACCATCATATCAATCACCTGAAAGTCAACAATTATCAGCAAACAGCAATGATGAAAGGGGCAACAAATCTTGTTCCATAGCTAAATTTCTTATGTCTCTACCAAAGCATCATATTAATTCGAGGTCCTTCAATTATCACTGGCCTTGACTAGCCAATTCCATGATAGAAGAACCATGGTTGAAGGAATATTATATATGCAGCAAACACAACGCATTGTTCTTATACATAGCATGGGAAACAGAAATGAATCGTGAACTATTCATCTCTGAATTTTTCCACTGGAAGGGATCCAGCCGAATAAAGGAAGGGAGCAGACAAATTTTCAAATAACACAAGGTAGTAGCTTGGAAATTCTAGCAAAACAAGACGGACAAATAACTACAATAGGTATCATCACCAGAGAGATGATAAGTCCAAACACACAACATGCTTGAATTGGAAATTTGGTCAAGGGTACCAAACGTGATAATGATTTGTTGTAGATTTCAATGAGCTCAGTTCATCAGGCTTTCTAAGGATTTTACCTCCAAAAATGCCAAAAATTTGAAAAATTAAACGTGATAGATTACTTTCAGAAAATCTTAGAATCTTGAACCTAACACAAACATGTAACCTACTCTCATCTTTAGCTAAATCTAAGCTTATTTGAAAATAAAATTATTCAGTAACCTTATTATGTCCATTGCTGACGATGGACCTTTAAAAATGATTCCGATGAAAAGCCCCTAGACACGTAATGTATACAAGAACCCATTTAAGGATCTGAAGAATAGCATGTGAATAAAGAAAAATAGCTGACACTCAAACATGTAGAAACCAAATTCACCACAACATAAATGTCAGAAAAAAGGCGAAGAAGGGATATGAATGCCTTTGGTGCACCTAAAGTTAATCTAGATCGAAGCATTGAGAAATAAGAGAAGAATTCAAGAGGCTGAAAGAATTTTGTTATAA